GGGGCCAGGGGGACATGGGGGGACAGAGAGGGGACATGGGGGGACAGAGCAGGGAGCTGGGGTGGGGAGGGAGCTGGAGAGGAAGGATGTGAGGGTGCTTGGGGGATGTGTTGATGGGGAGGAGGATGAAAGAGAAGGATGGAGGAGAGGGGAAGGGAAGAGAAGGATAGGAAAAAAGGAAGGGGAAAGGGAAGAAGGATGGAGAAGGATGAAGGAAAAGGATGGAGGAGAGAAGGGATGGGGGAAGGGAAGGATAGGGAACAGGAAAGGGGGAAGGGAAGGGGAAGGAGGGTGAAGGGGAAGAATGGAGGAGAGAAGAAAAAAAAAGGAAAAGGAAAGGGAAAAGGAAGAGGAAACAGAAGGATAGAGAGGAAGGAAGGGGAAGGGAAAGGTGTAACAAAAGAGAAGAGGAAAGCAAAGGGAAAGAAGGGAAAGGGAAAGGAAGGATAGAAAGGCGAGAGAAGAATAGGGAAAAGGAAAGGGAAGAGTAATGGGGAGGAATAGGGAAAAGGAAAGGGGAAAGAAGAGGAAAGAAGAAAGGGGAAAGGAAGGGGAAGAAGGATGAAGGAGAGAAAGGGAAAGGAGAGGAGAAGGAAAGAGGGAAGGGGAAAGCAAAGAGCTAAGGGAAGTTTGATACAGAGCACAGAGCAAAGCCAAGCCAAAGGGAGGTGTCAGGCGGGTGCTGCAGGGCAGGGACCTTCTCTCCTCTCCTTCTTCCCTAATTCTGCTTTCCATAGAGGAAACGCCAGGGGTTTTCCTCCTCAGGGGCACTGGGGGTCTCCTGTTCCCCAGGGCAAGGGCCGCAGGCAGGGGGAGTGGTGGCACTGACCCTGTCCATGTCCGCAGCACTGCCTACACTGCTGAAACCACCGACTACGACGTGCGGGTGCTCCTGAGGTTCCCTCAGCGCGTGAAGAACCAGGGCACAGCTGACTTCCTGCCCAGCCGGCCCCGGCACAGCTGGGAATGGCACAGCTGCCACCAGTGAGTGTCCCCAGGCCCCTCCTGCCCATCGGACCTCCTTCTCATCACAGTTTGGGGGCTTCTGAAAGGGCATTTCCCCCCTTCTGTGGCTTTGCTTCGAGATCTTTGGCGTGGGGTGTCACCTAATTTCACTTCTTTATCCCTAAAGCCACCAAGCTCCTGCAATTAATAGAATCATAGGATGGTTTTGGTTAAAGGGACCTTAAGGTTCATCCAGTTCCAAACCCTGCCACGGGCAGGGACACCTTCCACTAGAGCAGGTGACTCCAAGCCCCTGTGTCCAACCTGCCCTTGAACACTGCCAGGGATGGAGCATTTACCACTTCCTTTGGCAACCTGTTCCCAGATGTCCCCAGGAGGAAGCTGGTGTGGAGCCAGGGTTGATGGTGACCCATCAAAATCACATCTGGGGAGGGGATGATGCCATTCTGAGGGGGGTTGGAAGGGGGGGATGTCACCCTGACTGTCTGTCCCTTCTTTTCCCTCCCCAGGCACTACCACAGCATGGATGAGTTCAGCCACTACGACCTGCTGGATGCCACCACGGGGAGGAAGGTGGCTGAGGGCCACAAGGCCAGCTTCTGCCTGGAGGACACTACCTGTGACTTTGGCAACCTGAAGCGTTATGCCTGCACAGCCCACACCCAGGTTCATTGGGGGGATGCTCAAAGAGCTCCTTGGGGTGTCACCTCCCTCCAGCACAACCCGAACCCCCTTTTGTCCCCGCAGGGCTTGAGCCCGGGCTGCTACGACACCTACAACGCCGACATCGACTGCCAGTGGATCGATATAACTGATGTGCAGCCAGGGAATTATGTTCTAAAGGTGTATGGGCTTGTTGGAAGGAGATTTTTAGGGGCAAAGAATACCCATTTGGGGTCACCTTGGGATCTTCTCAACCATGGGGTGCTCAGGCATTGGAACAGGCTGCCCAGGGCAGGGCTGGAGTCACCGTCCCTGCAAGTGTTCACAGCCCGGGTAGACGAGGCCTCGGTGCCAGGGGTTAGTGGTGGCCTTGGCAGTGCTGGGGATGGTTGGACTGGATGAGCCTAAAGGTCTTTTCCAACCTGGTTGATTCAGTGATTTTATGATTGAGTTTGGGACCTGATTCTATGATTGGGTTTGGGACCACACACCTATTTTAGTGCCATCCTTTTCACATGGGTTCAGGTACTTCTCATCCCCTCTCTTACTAATTTTTACAGTGTTTTTCTTTCCCTTTCCCCCGTTTTTAGGTTCAGGTGAACCCCAAATACATCGTCCTGGAGTCAGACTTCACCAACAACGTGGTGAGGTGCAACATTCATTACACTGGGCGCTACGTCTCCACAACAAACTGCAGGATTTCCCAGTAAGGAGATGTCCATTTGTCCTCTATCCGTCTGTCCTTCTCTGTTCTCTTGGCCATCAAAACCCCCCAGGTATAGGGCTCAGACCCCTTTTTCCTCCCTTTTATCCAGTTTTTCTCCTTCGGCATCAAAAAGCAAAGCTGGATTTGGCGAGTGGGGGAGCTGTGGGTTGGTGTCTCGCTCCCTTTTGGGGTGTTTATTTTGAGTTTCCTGGTTATTCCAGGGAAGAAGGAAGATGAGCTTTAAGAGAACTCCCCTTCTGCCTTTAAAATAACAGTTTAAAATCTTTTCCTAAGTGCGTTCCCCAAATCCCAGGATTATTTTTCTTACCTTTCCCTTATGTCTCCTTTCAGATCTTGATGGGAGCAGGGCCAGAGGGACCTCACCTGCCCCCACCTCTGTGCCCCTCTCAACACAGTGCCTGAGGTGGCTCCTCTGTCCCACTGGAGACCATCAGCAGCTCCTCAAGACCCCCCCAAAAAAGAGAACCCCCCCATTTCTTCATGTTAAAAGGAGGGGAAGTGAGAATGAGTCTTTGAAATAGTTTTTTATACTTAACTTTCCTTTAATCTTTTGGGGTTTATCCCATTTCCTAAGGGAAACCGATGCTGGAATAAAGGCAGGGGCCCATAAATGCTGTATAAAGGATGTAAATCGCATATTAGCAATAGAAAGCTCTGTAGTCTTTAACCCCTTTGGCATCTTTTTATCTGGGGGGGTGGGGGGGTGTCTTCGGTGATGCCACCTCCTTGGGAGGGGAAGAGACAGCCTGGATTTTGAGGTGCTGCCCGGGCAGGGATGCTCTGGTTACTTCTGGGACCAAAGGTGCTGGGAATCCTGTCACCTTAATGCGGGGCTCGCTCTGTTTGGAAACCAGGATGGAGTCCTTGAGATGACTGGAAATCATGGGGTGGGTTTTTATGATTAATATTTTTATTATTTTCACAAGCTTTAAAACCAGAACTCATTAAAACACGTTGCTTTTGAGAGCTTGGTGTTTAACTGAGGGCACGGTGGCCCACCAAAGGATGTCTCCAACATAAAGGCGTTGGGGATCCCTCCCAGGAGGTGTCCCAAGGGAAAGCTGTTGCCTTTTTCACAGTGGCCTTTATTTAACCCTGGGTGCTAGGGAGCAAAGAGCACATCGGATGGGGAGGGTGGGTAG